TAGATAGAAGTCATTTGTCTGAAGGACAACTGGCTAAAATTTTTTCCCACTCTGTGAGTTGTCTTTTCACTCTGTTGGTGATTTCTTATGCTGTACAAAAGTTTTCTAATAAGATCAAGTACCAGTGATTGATTCTTTGAAATATTTCCTGCGTAGTCTGGTTTTTGTTCACGAATTCTTTACCTACACTTGTATCTTCCAAGATCTCTACCTCCTTTCTGTTCCAGTAGATTTAGCATTTCTAAATATGTATGCACCAAATATGGGAGCACCCGACTATATAAGACAAATATTAATAGTCATGAAAATTAAATGAGAAGTAACACTATTATAATGGGAGACCTTAATACCCCACTGTCACAAATAGATAGATCAACCAGATCAGAGCTGAACCAAAGCTGTGAACAAATGGACTTAGTAGACATTTATAGAATGTTCTACCCAACAACATCAGAATATACATTCTTCTCAGCTGTACATGGGACATTCTCTAAAATAAACCATATACTAGCCCATAGAACATGCTTAAATAAATGCAGAAGAATTGCAATTATCCTGTGTATCCCATGTATAGCCTATGGAATTGAGATATCCCAGTTATCCCATGTATATTATCTTACGATAGTGCAATGAAATTGCAAGTTAATGGCAAAAGAAACCACAAAAATTCCATAAACACATGGAGATGAAATAACACCCTCCTGAACAACAAATGGGTCACAGATGAAATTAAAGAAGAAATTAAACAGTATCTACAATTAAATGAACATGCAGGTACAACATACTGGAACCTGTGGGATGCAATGAAAGCAGTCCTCAGAGGAAAATTTATAGAGGTGAATTCTCACATCAGGAAAACAGAGCGAGCACAAATAAACAACCTAATGCTACACCTCAAGCTTCTCGAAAAAGAAGAGCAAGTCAAGCCCAAAGCCCATACAAGTGAGGAGATGATAAAGATCAGAGCAGAAATTAATTCAATTGAGATTAAGAAAACAATACAAAGAATTAATGAACTGAAGAGTTGGTTCTTTGAAAAAATAAATAAAATTGGTAAACCCTTAACCAACCTTATCAAAGAAAGGAGAGAAAAGATTCAAATTCATGCAATGAAGAATGAAAAAGGTATATCCAATTTATAAACCAGCAGAAACCCTATGTTAGAAAACCTAAGCAATGGCCTTTGCTGAGAATGAACTTGCCAGGTCAATATAAAACATCATGGAAACAAAAACAACAGTTAGCACTCCTGTACAGTTGTTTATAAACATATGCCCTTCAAATATACTGTAAAATAGAAAAAAATTAAAAGGCAATAAAGAAGGGAAGAGGGTATATATAACTGTGAGAGTACAAGGGGGAAATAAGGGTAAAGAATAGGGGAGTGGAGTTTAAGTGCATAATGAAAGAGGATACAGGAGGAGTGCATCCAATTAATGATCTAAGAGAAACACTAATTTTCAGAATCCTATGAATCAACACTTAGTGAGGGAAACCTACTCTGAGATGGGATACTGTAATATTTTGAATAATCTTAATAGTTTATGTGAAGAAAAGAATGGGTAGAAAGGGAGAGGGAAAAATTATAAAAAATAAAAAATATAAGGGAGAGAAGCTGACAGATACAAGAATATATGAGGGGAAAATAACAAAGATAAAGAAAAGATGAAGTTGTAAATGGGAGGTGAGAGGAGAGATAGGGAGATTTCATCTCCTTAACAGTCTGTATAACACCCAGAGTCAATTTTGGAGTGGGATATGTCACTTCTGTCTTGTAAATATTTCATGGAATTTTATAAGCAACAATAGAAAATTTATACTCATAGCTAAAACTGTACATATATACAAAGGCCTGCCATTCAAAAATTCAAAAAAAAAGAAAACACATACGTACACAATCTGGAAAAACTTAAAAAGGGGACCATGCTTGGGAGCCTGTGGCATTCTCAGAGCATTGCCTTGGCAGGTTGTATGCTGTCCTGCCACTGACAGGTAGCAAACTCGTTCCAGGTTAAGATTATGGCATGGGCTCTGCGCTCTGTCCACCCAACTTACCGCTGTCAGCTTTCCAGCTTTCCCCTTGCAGCTAGGTTTTCGTTTCACCTAGCCCTTTTCTGGCTGTCAACTTTAGTGGTCAGGTAGGAGGCAGTAAGCCTGCCTCCACATGTTGTCCAGGGTCAAAGCAGTGCTCTTGCTTGCCAGATTTCATTCTGGCCTACTATTTAAGTGGTTTCTGGAGGCTGGCAGGAAATACCCTCCGCAGGTCCCAGTTGTTTACCTTTGCAGAGGGCTTCTTCCCAGCTCATGAATTCAGTGGCATTTGAACTCAGCAAGACCTCTCCTGAATAGAAATGGTTAGCATGTGGAGTTGGCAGGAGGAAGCTCACATAGCCACAGTGCTCTGCACATTTGAGGGAAACAGTGGACGAATGCCTGCTCTGGCACTCCTCCAGTATCTTTTGCTCCACCCCCAGGTCCCACAGGGTTACAGCACAGCAAGCTCCTGTGATTCTTATTATCTCATAGATCCCCCAATGCCTGCAGAATTCTGTCCAGGACCATAGTCTTGTTCCTCTTGAGCTCACAGCTCCTATTCAGTCACTGCCCTCTGAGTGTTTCTCTGGCTTGCCCTTTCCCTAGTGCTCTGAAGTGAGGAGGCCCTCTCTTGCAAATATCTCACTTGCTAGGCTTCTTTTCCCAGTGGGAGGAGAGTTAATTCAGGTGGGCTCTGGGTAGCTGCAAGACTGGGTACCTATTGGTAGCCTGGCAGCTGCTGCTACAGTAGGCTTCTTGGTCGTGGGGGATTTGAACTTTCCCCTAGATGTCATGTTTGCTGCACCTGGACTGTAAGCAATGCCAGGATCAAGAAGTGACCCTGTTGCTTATTCTCAACACCCATTACTGGATTTCTTTTTTGGTACTGGGAATCAAACTGAGGGCCTTGTGTTTCCCAGGCAGGCTCTGTGCCACTGAGCCCGCTGGATTTCATTTGATGGACTTTTCCTTTAAATGGCCTTCCCTTGGTTGGGTTTTTGTTTCCTGTCCTTCATCTGTGGACCTGGGACCTTGGTGAACATCCTCTGAGTGTCTCTGAACATGCTCTCCTGTCTTTAGCCTGCCTTGATGTTTCCCTCCGTCCCAAAATTGGTTTTTTAAAGCTTAGAATAGATTAATTCACAAAATCATTTTTGCTCACAAAATAAGATTGGGTACTGTTATGGTTTATCTCTAAAATGTCCCTGAAAAGTCTCATGTATTGGGGGCTGGGGATTTAGCTCAGCGGCAAAAGCGCCTGCCTGGCAAGCGCAAGGTCGTGAGTTTGGTTCCCGGTACCGGAGAAAAACCAAAAAACCAAAAAAACAAAACAAAAAAAAAGTCTCATGTATTCAGAGATGGGGTTTCTAGAAGGTAACTGGATGAGTTCGTAGCTGAATGTGCTACTAAGAGGTGGGGCCTGGTTGGAGGTGGGTCACTGGAGATGTGCCCTGTACAGGTGTGTTCTTGTCCCCTTTCCCTTGTCCTTCTGCTTCCTGGATGCCTTGCCCCTCTGCAGTGCTGTTTCTGCCTTAGAGCCAACACACTTGAAATGAGAACATGGAAACTCTGAGCCAAAATAAACTTCTCCTCCCTTAAGTTATAAGTTTTGAGTATTTTTTCCCAGCAATGGGAAAGTGACTAATAAAAGTAGTAATACTTCAGTATTCCTTTTAATAGAATTATTTTAACTACTTCTTTCCTTCTTTACTATGTAGCATCCATTGCTGGGATCCTGTCCTTGAACTGCCTATTCTTGCCAACCTCAAAAAAGTGGTGTCAATGGTGGGGTGGTGCACACTGTAATCCCAGTATTTAGGAGGCTGAGGCAGGAGGATTGCTGCAAGTTCAAGGCCAGCCTCAGCTAAATAATGAGACCCTGTCTCAAAAAAAAAAAGTTGTATCAAAGCAAAAACTTAAGTGAAGTGCAAAATGTCACCTCATGAATAGCTAACATGATATTCAAATTGGTTACTGAGGAGGTCAGGGGGCTTGTTGGTTTTTGTTCTTTTCTTTTTTTCTTTTTGCCAGTGTATAAACACAACAATATATTTTGTTAGAATCCATAGAAAATATTTTTATAAGACAGTTTGTATTTTCAGTATTTTAACATGACTAATATTGTCTGTTTGAATTTATGCAGTGGAGTAAGTAGATGAAAACCATCCTTATTTTACTGCTGAAGCACTTCAGTTACTGTTGCTGATATACCTCAGCTGGTTGTACACTTGCATGTGTGAGGTCCTGAGTTCAATTCCTAGTCCTGAGAGATTGGGAAGGAGAAGGAGAGGAAGAAGGAGGCGCAAGAGGAGGAAGGGACAGTGCGAGTTAGGGAGAGTAGTGAAGGTGGGAGGGAGAAAGGGAGAAGATAAGAAAAAAACATGTTTGGGCTCTAGGTATAAGATTTATTTTATTCTATGTCAAATTTTAAGATTTTTGGGGCTGGGGATTTAGCTCAGCAGCACAGCGCCTGCCTGGCAAGTGCAAGGTTGTGAGTTTGGTTCCCAGTACTGGAAAAAAAAAAAAAATTTTAAGATTTTTAATCAATGAAGTACATTTTGTTCTATAGAACAGTACAACTGAAATTGAGATTTGTGCTTTAAAATACACTGAGATTAAAAGAAAATATTTGTATTTGAATTGCCTGGTAAAATAATATTCATCCCTGAAAAAGTCAATATAAATCCATTTTAATATTCTTTCCTATGCTTTATTTAAAAAAAATCTGTGATTATTTATTCCAAAATAAGAAAGTCTATGTTTTACAGAGTTCAGGGTCTTACTTGTAGATACAAGTTGAGGTCATCTTATTTCTGTTAAATATGGCTTTGAAGGGAATGGCTGAGACAGACCAGTATTAACTAGCATTTCTATAATTGTGAGTCTATATTTGTAAATTGCTTCCTTTGATGTATCCAGGACAATTATATAATAGTACTATTTGATTTTTAAAATTTCATTTTAAGGTGGAAGTGAAAGCCGTCCCTGTTTCCCAGAAAAAATCATCTTTACAACAAGAACAAGGAAAGAAAGCTCAAAGGATTCCTGGTAGTCCTGCAGTAGCATCAACATCTTCTAATACTGACTTGACTTTTGGAGGGCTGGCATCACCAAAGCTGGATGTTTCCTATGAACCAATGATAGTGAAGGAGGCTCGATACATTGCCATAACAATGATGAAGGTAATTGGTTTTAACTTATCAAAAAATTTATTTCACAAATATTTCATTGATTCAAATGCAGATACAAAATTATAGAGCAAATCACCAGTTTTAGAACAAGTTAATACAATTGGAGTTAGTGGTGATTTGAAACTGAGTTGAAGTTTGCAGTATCATAGCCAGTAAGTGGAAGTATCATAGCCAATGAGGTTTACCCAGGGCATGGTTCTTGCTAATTAAAACTGGGTCTCAGTCCCTGCAGAAGTACTTGTTTACTTTCAGTCTAGTACTACTGCTAGATTATAGCTCTTCAGGACTTACTTAGGAACAGATATTTATTCCCAAACAGTATATGTGCTTTTCCATAATTTGTAAAATGCTCTATCACATTTTATGTATTTGTTTTGCCAGTATTTTTGTTTTAACTACTTTAAAATATTTCATTGGATGCTGTTCTATAATATGTTCATTTTGCTACCAGTGGACACATTATAAACTATTATAAAGTAAATATCCTTGTATTTGTCTCCTTTTACATGAGCAATAGTTTCTCTAACATTTATACCTAAAGGGCAAGCATGTCTTCAATTATGTTAAATATTGTAGAACTTATACTCCTACCAGCAGTGTCTGAAAGTTACAGATAACTGTATGTTTTCGTTATACTTGGTTGGGTTATTTGTTCTATTCTGTTTCGTTTCGTTTTGTTTTGCTTTGTTTAGTTTAGTTTTGTTTTGTTTTGTTTTGTTGTGTTTTGTTTAGCTCAGATCTCACTATATTGCTGAGGCTGTTCTCCTGGACTCAAGCAATATTTCCCACTTACCTTGCAGCTGGAATTAGGCACGTGCCTCCATGTTCAGTGGGCACTTGATTCTTGCCAACACATTATGATGACTAATACGATTATTTTGTTATATTAATTCATATTTTCTTAATTCCCAATTTAAATGTTAAATGTTCAGTTCTTATTGGCATTTCACATTTCTTCAGTGAATTAACTCTATTCACTTTTGGTATGTTTTTCTCTTTTGTATTAATTTGCTGTTTATGTATAATGGGTACATATCCTATTGGGGTTATGTGAATTACATATCTATTTCTGCCAAGTGAAAGCTTTTTTTCTATAGTATCTTTGTTTTGCAGAAACTTACAATTTTAATGTACTCAAAAGATACTATTTTTTCTTCTAAATTTTTACAAAATTGGTTTTTTACATTTTAGTCTTTCATACACCTGGAATTTATTTTTTGTCAATGGTGTGATGTAGGTCATTGAATTTGTCTTTTCCTCTTGTATGCATAACCAGTTGTCTCAGCACAATAACTGGATGTTTTGTCATTCTGCTGTAGAATATTTCTAAGTTTATGGTTGTTATTTATTTCATTCTCAAAGGTTTATGAAAATTACTCCTTTGAAGAACTGCGTTTTGCATCACCAACTCCTAAGAGGTAAGGATTATTTTGTGAAAGCAGAGCTAAAATGTGTGTTGTATACTTCTTGCAAAGTGTACTCATCCTATCCTCCAAATTTATTTTCCATAAATAAATAATTTTTTTTAAAATTCCAGCAGTGATTTTCCACATATGATAATGTGTAGATTTGCTAGTAGATTTGAACTACTATGTACTTTTTGAACTCTAGCACTGTCATAATACTCAAATACTGAGAAAGAGAAATAATAGCTAGGATCAAAATATGTATAAAATGGCTTGTCTAGAGTTGGTTAGTTTTTTGTATTTGGTTTTTTACTATTTTATAATTATTCCTTTGTCCTTCCCCAGTGAATTCTGGAGAAATTTTAATATGTGCCATATTTATATTTTGTTGCAGTCTTATTTTTCCAGCCACCAATGAATTCTGTTAACTCCAGATTTAAGCAGATATTTGTGTTAGTATTTGTTTGTAAAAGTATTTTTTATAAAGGGATGTTTAGAGAAATCACATTTGTAGAATTTAGGAACAGCTCTGAAATGAGTCTGAAAAAGCGTTATTTACTCATAGGTCTCAATGTATTGCACATCACAAATGACCTTATTAAAAAAACAGGTTATTTTAACTTTATTCTAGTTTATATGCAAAGTTCACTTGTTATCTAAAAAATTTTCTGTCACAAATGCTAAGTAGTGAAAATATATCTTTGGTAATAGGAAAGTAGTGTTTCATCTTTGACCTAATTATATTTATAAAATACTACAGTAGAAGTATATGATTTGTATAAAATAACTAATGTGAATAGTATGAATTTATAGCTTGTTAAGAACAAGTTAACCATCTCCTACTAAGTAAATTTTTATATGCTTTGGACATTTTAAGCCTGATTGAAATAATCCCTTGTCTAAGTAGATTGATGTATTTACTTATGCTGTTGAGCATATGCTATGTGGAATGTACAGTACTGTTACAGGCCCTGGGCACATTTGAGAGCAGCATAGATATGGTATCAGCTCTCATTCTTATGGAGAAATAAACTATAAAGAAAAAACCCAGTAATAATAAAGTTATTCGATAGACAGTGTTGGGGACGGGGCAGATTGTCAAAGTAATGCATGACATAAGGGGGCTATTTGAGGAACTATTTATTTAACTGGAGAGCTGGGTGGTGATTGGCCATTTAAAGGTTTGGGAAAGTTCATTCTAGGCAGACAACACCTGGGGTGGATGGAGCTTGATTGAGAAACAGACAGAAGGAGAGTTGGGCTGGAGAATAGGAAGGAGAGGGATAATGGTTGAAGGATAGGTCAGAAAGCTAGCTGAGATCCTTTTTATATATAGATTGATAGGTTACGTTAAAGAATTTGAATTTTTTATAAAACTTTATTGGGAGAATTCTAAACAGGAGAGTTACATAGGTTAGTTTATAGTTTTTTAAAGATTACTCTGTCTACTCTCTGAAGATGAATTATAGGGGAGCAAGAATACAGAGAAAACTTAGAGATTATTATGTGTCTTGTACTAGGGGTAGAATATAAAATGTTTGGATATACTCGGGATATATCTAAAAGAACAACCAACAGACCTTGTTGGCGAGAAGAATCAAAACTACTCATAGGGGCTGGGGATTTAGCTCAGCGGCAAAAGCGCCTGCCTGGCAAGCGCAAGGTCGTGAGTTCGGTTCCCGGTACCGGAGAAAAACCAAAAAAAA